TACTTGTTCTAAGAATTCAGCTCTATTCTGGAAATGTATAGTTCTTCAATCTGCTAACATTGATTTATGAATTATATTTTATTCCTGCTTCAGTTTGGGAAGATAATTTCAAATTGCTGTACACTCAGGAAAAATAGCCTCACTCAAAAAGGGAACTAAAAATAATTTTTTGAGCTATTGGGCAATTTTCTCCAACCAGCTAGATATCTCAGTCATAGAATGATCTGAAAATTCAAAAAGACCTTATTCTTAGCCAGATTCAATGTTCTCCATACAGCCATTACTGAAAGAAGATATCACAAAATCCTCTTCAACGACTGTTTCCGTGGAGTGAAACAATAATTAAATCAGTGGAATTTGTTAATCTTTATTACCCTCTCTATGCAAGCGCTTACCAGGAATTACTTCCACTCTTTACTAAATATCCTGATTGTTTTTATTTATTTATCAAAAAGATTTATTATTGGGTCAATCTGATTTTATTTCCTTGACCACTTTACTGTTCTATAGTCTGCACAGGACACTGTAATATTAACTCGTAACTCTTTTAAGATATTTTCTTTTTATCATAATTAATTGTGACTCCTGTCTTTTATTTAAAGGTCTATGGCTGAATAAAGATTTCACTTGACTTTGTTACAGCTGTAAAAAAATATACATATCATATGTTATGTTGCTGTATCTTGTGTTTTAAAAAGGATATGTCCTCAAAAGGTTTGTTTAAAAGCATAATATACAGATATCTAAATACGAAAAGTTGAAGAAATAAACTGAATTCTATTAAATATAAACAGCATGAAAAATGTTTTGTGCTTAATCACTTTATTTCTTATGACATCATATTTTCTAAATATGAAAAAGCCCTCTGAGCATTTTATCCCTTTGGGTATATGGATGTGTGCTGCAGGGACACAGGCACAGGAGTTTCCAGATGCTATATTATAGATTTGAAATATATGGATCAAAGATTAAGTTTCATGATTTTAAAATTTATTGAAAGCATTTTAATTTGGTTTAGTTGAAGATCTCCTAGAAGTTTAATAAATATGGCTCTAGGATTAGAGTAATAATTATTAATCTGTCGTATACCAAATGTAAATTCTTCTACTCAGCCAAAGGGAAGAGCAGCCATTAGAGCAGTTGTTGATGAAACTTCATGTGACCTAACACATTATTTGACTTACAAAGTAATTTGGTATTCTTTGTTCCTACTCTTGGTATATTTCGTCCTATTCAATTGGGAGAAAAACATTTCGTCCAAACCTGTGGGCTGCAAATCCAGCTGGTAGAAAGAAATTGTATACACAAGAGAAATCATGTGATTCCAAGGTTGTTAATTTATCTACCATAAAAACTCATTCATCTTTCCTGCAACATTATAGTACAAATATGTACTATATTGATTTTTCAGTATACTGCATTGTATTTTTAATATCTACAAATTATTTTCAATTTTAAACAAACAATGAATTTTACAGTATGATATAGCAATTAATATTTAACTATAAGCTTAAATGGATTCCAGAGGGTGGTAGAGGACAGGAAGGCCTGAAGTAATATTGTCCATGGGGTTGCAATGGGCTGGACAGGACTTTGCAACTAACAATAACAAATAGGCATATTTTATAGAGGGTTTTCTGTATAAAATACAGATATTCTGGAGTTCTGTTGAATTTTCTAAACAAGGTAGCATGATACACAGAGGTCTGATCTCAACATAATACTGAACTCAGACCTATGTATGCTTTTCCCCATTCCCTAGCCTGATCTTTGAATAAAAGCAGTTTTTACTTTGACATTAACTAAATCAGAAACCAAACAAATCTTAGTCCTAACTGTGTTTATGCATAAATTAACTTTAAGTTGTCTTTCTTTTTTTAAAGAAACAGTTTATTTAGGTTCAAATATAGTAATTATTAATTGTTAAAAGCAAAGGGGAGAGGGTGCTTATTTCTGAGGCTCATTTTTGTAATAGATTTGTATTCTAAACCAGAATCTCCTTGGTTTTTTGTCTTCTAGTTTGATTCAGTTCTATTTTGTATAATTCCTATTTCCCACGCTTCTTTTTCTTCAACATATGTTAAGGCTTCAAATAACTTTTAGCTCAACAATGTGTTAACAAATTAGCTGGCCTTGATAAAAAGCTCAGTGTCAAGAATTCTTTTTATAAATATGTTTTCCTTGATCCAGTGAATCTTTATTCTTCCCTCTATTTTTGCTCACTCATCAGCAACATCTTTCTATCAACTGGTTGCTCTGTTATTAATAGTTCGTTATCCATATAGCATGTGGGACTGTTTACTCTTATTTGCAAATTTGTAGCTTCTTTTGTAGTTTTTTCATATCTAGTTTTAGGCAAGGGTGGCATATATAAGAATAAAGAGCTGCAGCAGAATGGGAAATAATATGATTTCTAAACTAAATGTTTAGATATGGAAACAAGCCTTAACCACAGTTGCAGATTTTGGAAAATACAGTATTATGCTGACTACTGCACATATAAAATATAATTTAGAAAAAAGGAACATTAAAATAGCCATGTCATAACTTTCAGTAATTGTATTTTTTGATAAATTTAAAAACGTGGTCTTTTTGACCTTGGAAATAATTTGTTGTTCATAATTATGGAATATGACATGGATGCCACAGGCTGTAAGGAGATTCAAAAGAACTGACTATATATGGCACAACAAATGGATTCAGTTTAAATAAACATAAATGCTGGGATGATGACAAAGGTGTTTTTCTCCATTAGCAAAAAAAATATTAAATTGTTAAAGTAACTATATTTTTTGAAGTATTCACATAATTGCTTTGAAAGCTGTTGCTGGTTTTCTGTGCATACTGTACTTAGACAGACAACATGCCCACTGGCTTCATAATCAAAACAAAGTATCAGCCATCTGGATCAGGAGAATAAGTTTGATTATTCCATTTAACATATAATTAAATGAAACTAAGTTCAAGAGGAGCCAGCCTCATTCGAGTAGCACCTTCATAGAATTCAAAAACAGAAATAATGGCTTTTTGCAGTGGAAGTATTGATTCCCTGTACTATTATGGCCAAATATTCTCAAAGTAAGTTATCATATGTACCAAATGGCAGAGTCTTAGTCAGTAAAAATGATTGCTCAGCATCCCCACCTATAGACCTAAAGTCAGGATTAGTGGAGCGGAAGAAATTATTTGGTTTTTTTATATAAATAGATAATATGAAGTACATACATACATACATACATACATACATACATACATACTGTAGATGGATACTAGGTAGGTAGGTAGGTAAGTAGATAGATAGATAGATAGATAGATAGATAGATAGATAGATAGATAGATAGATAGATAGATAGATAATGTCTCTTGCTTTAGTCAAATATCAGTTGGGAAGAGTTTTCACTGAGTGTATGTTAAATATTCCAGTTCCTTGTTGAAATATCCTTAATAAAACAGAAAGAGCCAGTTGACATAGTGGTTAAGGTATTGGACTGGTACTGGGGAGACCTGGGTTAAAATCTACTCGCAATCATGGATGTCACTCATTGTCAATCTAGATTCTATGTAGATTCTCAGTCATCCAAGTTATGGTTGCCCCAGAGGTGCTTTTTCCAAATGGTCACTGGACTTTGTTTTTCCTTGAAAATGGTTTACTTCTCACCCAAGAATCTTCTATGGGTTAAGTTGTAAATTTTGCCAATAATCATAAAGAATGTACCAACTGAAGTTTGCTCTCCAGGAATGTTCTATAAAACACGGGCACAATGGTCTTGTGTTATGGGTGGCAGGTGGGAGAAGTATAGTAAGATTTTGAAGTCATCTTTGCCTACCTTCCTCTTGTAATGGCAAAAAGGATTGCCATTTAAGCATCTTTAATTTTGTTTTTCAAAATAAATGAGATCACTGTTATTACAATAATTGATAGAGGAAGTTTCTCTCATTTAAATTCTGAGAGTTTAGGATATTAAGAGACAATGCGACGTAGTCATGAATTTTTAAAACAGTAGAAATTATAGACATACATTTTGTTGTTAATACAACTGGAACAATCTCAGCTGTCATGAGCCTGATATACAATGTAAATACCAGTTTGGGCACAGATTCTTTATGAATGACCCACAAGACTTTAAATTTCAAATTGACATTAATTTCCCATTGACAAAACAAAAATTCTGGTTAATTATTTTCTGGTATAATAATGACTTGAAAGGGTTTTCTGGCTAAGCAAAAAGAGGGCCACAGAAAGGAATGATTTTTAATGGTCAGAATTTTTTTTTTCTGAACATAGTCTTTGAAAGCCCCTCATTGAACAGTTTTCTAACCTTGAGGCCAGTATCAAATATTGTTTCACATTGGCTCTCAGATGCAAGAAATATTGGCTGGCCTATGTGCTGTGTGACATTTTGTTGCACAGTACACCTCCTTAGAGATTTCATATACTGATTAACGTGTCTGTTGGAGTCATTGTCTAATTGATTATTCTATGTCAGATCTCTGCTTCTTTGAGATGTTTAAGATGAGAGTTCCTTTGATCAGACCCTTAACTCTTAGAGGGAGCAAAACCTATTCATGGACAGAATTATTTTGTAACTACTGCGGAAGAGAATCTCCCCTGCTTCCTTCCTGCACAGTAAATGTTAAGATCATATTATTTGTAATTGTATGTACATGTGCTGAACAAACTAGCTTCCTCTAAATTTGGTTATACATTGTTTAACTTTTAATTGCTAGAGGTAAAACAGTGTGTTCATGTTGGAAGCTTTGAAGTTATGACTCTAAAATCTGTAGTGGCAAAATATGCAAGAGAAAAATTCCTGTTTTCTTGGCAGGTTTCATGAAAATTTACTGTCTCTGAAGAGGGATTTAGCTGCTGCAGCACCTCATTTTGCTTGTTTAAATTTCTGGTTGTTTTTGCATGCTGTACTGCAAATCATTTTCATTTTTCTGTGTTCTCGTTGGGACTCATTTCTCATTCGTGTTTTTGTCTCATTTGTTTCCATCAGCAAATGCCCAGCACACCGGGGTTTGTGGGATACAATCCATACAGCCATCTGGCGTACAACAACTACAGGCTGGGAGGGAACCCGGGCACCAACAGCCGGGCCACGGTAGGAGAATCAACTATTACATCATCCGGCAAACAGCAGGAAGTGACCAGAAATGGCTTTAGAATTAGGTTCTTCTGAGTCTTAGCAAATAAGCGGTGATTTCTTTCCATTTCTCTCCAATCTTTTTCTTTTCACTAACTTTTTGATAACAGCCTTTTTTATTAAGTCAGTCGGAATGGGCATCGAGTCAGTTCACTTTCCAACAGGAACACAAACAACTTTTTTAAAAACTGTTTTCACTAACCACGTACCACTGATAAGAATTTCCCCTCTGATCATAAAAGCAGCTTGTGCGCCAACTAGCAAGTAGTTAAATTGGTGGAGGGGGGGAGGAACATGAAGTGAAGACCTGTGAAAATCTTTAGATGAAGTAGAGCAAGAAGGAGCTGTGTATGTAAATATATAGGAAAGAAACACACAAAGATTAACGAAAGAAATAAACCTAGAACCAAAGAGAAGAGTTTTCTCTCAATATTTAGAGGAAGGGTTTTTGAAATTTGAAAATTGCAAAATTTTGTCCAAGATTAAGTTTGCTGAAGTTGATGTCTTCCTTCTCCAAATGGTGTGGAAGTTCACAATGTTCTCCAATGGGCAGAGGAGACCTTCCCCTCTTGGCATAGAAAATGAGTTGGATTTTTCCTATTATTAATTCAGTCAAATACAGTTACTCTGCAATATGTCTTATTGATAGTGTGTTCTCAATTGAAAGTTTTCTTATAAGAAACCCTGTTCAGAAGACACCATAGTGTATTCCATTCTGCCAGGTATTCTCTGAGGTGTCTTAGTGTTCAAACAATAATTGAAGCACACTACTACCTATCCTTAATTATTGTTTCAGTTTGAGACGTAGTCACTGGATTAATTGGTGCTTTCTCTTGTAATTAATGTCCAGAAGGGTAGTTAGATTAGTGTTTTGCAAAAAAAAAAAAAAAGTATTGTCGCACTTCATCATCTAATGAATTGGTTATTGCATAAACCCTTTTTTCTTTTTTCTCTTTTTTATTTGCAGCAACAACAATATTACAAACTTACAAAACTACAAAACTAAACAGTATAAAAATGCATTAACAAAAACAACTAAAGCAACAATATAAATTATAAAGACATTTAATAAATTACAAAAAATAGAACGGGAAAACAAAACAAAATTGTGTAAACCTCTATGGATCAAAGTTCACTGCCAGATACAGATAGATTTTTAATAAAATGAATTGTAATTTATGGCAGTAACAAAGTAATCTTTAAGATGCTTCAGAACTCTTTATGGTGCTGTACAATGCAATAGGCAAGAGGACAGAATCTTCTTAACACTTGCATTCATGCAGTTCCTACATATCTCCTCATGAGAACTGTATGCCTTTGGATTTAACTAAAAATTAGTAAGTGTATGAAGTATATCATTATGTTAGGTAAGAGAAAAAATACACAGCTCTTTTTTTTTTTGCCTGTTCTAATTTCCTTTACAATTTCAGGGCATTTATTTGACCATATAGTATTGATTATAGATTAATAAATTATAAAGGAAGTTTTCACTTAATTCATTGGTTCTAGTTTGTATTAGAATCCAAATCCAAGATTTGGAGGGGGAAGTTTATCATTTCAAATTACTGGTTTATTTTCAAATATTCTTTGGTATACTACAATTACTAGCACATAAGTTAAGAGTGGGGGAAGTATTCTAATTTATTTTTCTCTACAAAGGCTCCTTTTTCTGCATGGAGAATTATTTTTTGTTAAGAAAAGCACATACATTTGTGTTAGCATCTGCAATAGTGTAACTTAGACATAATTTGACTGTATCCATTAGAAAAAGTCTACAACTAAATAAAGGATCACTATTGATGGCATTATATATGTTAAATTAATTACTTGAGGAGATTTTTCATTACTTTAGCTCTAATTCATATTTTTTTAACTGTAAAGGATAATACTTTCAAAGTATACTGTCCAAAATAATGAATTGTTGCAGTCCATTAACCATTTTTCAAATCCTAATATTTCACTTTTAATAAATGAATGACAAAAAGATCCAGTTTAGGCCTATGAGTCAGACCTTCTCTGGAAGTTAACTTTAAGGAAATTGAAAAACACACTAATTTGCTAATATGGAAGACCCATCTTTGTGTTTTTCATGACCAACAAAAAGGCATTTATATTGTAAAGAAATAACAGATTCAGAGTTGCACATAATAATCATCAGTATTCAAGCTTCATGTGTTAACTGTAATGTCATATGTTCTTTCTTGTTACATTACTTTACATATATGAACGAATTTGGATTTTTAAAAAAATCTGATCCCCAATTATTTTATTTTTATTTCAAATTCATATTAGAAGTTATTTTTTCTTTCACAAATTTTCATATATATATATATATATATATATGTATATATATATTTCTCTTAAGTTTTCACAGGTATTTATATGTATGGTATTCAGCTTTCTTCAGGTATTTTCCCACGTCATTGTAGTTGTGCTTTTAAAGTTGTAGCAACGTTGCAGCAGAATCTCCTCTGCCATCATCAGGCTTCTGTATTGTGTCCGTCTGTGAGTCAGACTATCAGACTAATATATATATATATATATATATATATATATAGAGAGAGAGAGAGAGAGAGAGAGAGAGAGAGAGAGAGAGAGAGAGAGAGAGAGAGATTAAACATTCTGAGCTTTTTCTACAATGTGTGTTTCAATTTGGGTTTATGCTTTATAGATTCTTATTGGTGCTAAAGCGTTAAGCTGATTTTTTAAATGTTTTCAGGTCCATCTTTATATATTTGTGTGTGTAACTTACATTTGCTAATACATATGTCTCATAAACATGTTTGTATTTCATTAGATATGATCTACGTACTGCTGCTTAGTTCATGGCGTATCACAAATATGACATGGAGAAAAGCTTGTCCTTTTATCTTAAAAATGAGCTTCTCAAATGTTGTAGGCCAGTTTATGCAAAATATTTTTATGTATAATCACAATTCAGCCTTAAGATGATTGTATCATTTAAAATCTGAGATCTATGCAGTGATCTATGTTTGCATGTTTAAATCTTGATCTTAATCTCTATAGTCTCCTCCCAAAATAGTTACATGTATTTTGAAGCGTGGATAGAATTTTGCGCATATGTGCTACCCCATTAGTTTCTACATGAAAGGTCACATTGAGTTTAAAATGCAGACATGTATCAAATTCATATTAGAATAAGTTACTTTGTTAAAGTAAATAAGAATCCTTGACTGATTTTACTATTATTGACAAAGACTTTATTGTAGAGTGATTACAATACAGGTATTCCACTACAATTAAAAAATTTGGAAAAGTGATCCCCAATCGCCTAGAAATTCATTCACCATTTCCATATATACACAGACAATTGTATCAGCCAGTGCCTGCAAATGCATTACTTTGCATATTACGTATTATATGATGTTTGATAAGTTCCATGACAATAAAAGTTGATGGATCCTTCTCTTAGTAAAGAGTTTGTTCAAAAGAAGGATGAGCATCTATTTGAAAAAGATGAATTGTGTATATATGAAAGTGTATTTTGAACCTAGAACATTTTTGTAGGAAAAAAAAAGGAATGTTACCTGTAACTCTTTAAGACATATTTCTTTTAGTGAAAAAGCTTGGTGTTGCTACAGATCTTTGAGGAAAACAAAGTTCCGGGAACTTACTCTGTAAAATTTCCACTTGGATAATGCAATTTGGACTAATAAGATATTCAAGGAAGCAAGCTTCGAGAAATATCCTGTTCTGATAAATATTTTAACGGTCTCTCCAGTAATGTAGTAAGGGTAGTGGATATTCCATAATGGAATAAGGATAATGACCTTGGATGAGAGCGTAGTATGGGTAGTTCTCGACTTACAATCATAATTGGGAATAGGATTATCGCTAAGCAATACCATTGTTAAGTGAGCTTTATAACCTTTCTTGCCATGGCTTAGCAAATCAGCATAGTTAAGGGAATCTCACTTCCCCTGTTGATTTTCCTTTTTGGAAGCCCTCTGGGAGGGTTTCAGATGGCAATTATGAGATCTCGGTATGCTGAATTACCGTAAATACATGGCAGTTGTCAAGCGCCCGAATTTTTATCATATGACTATGGGGATGCTTTGATGGTCGTAAGTGTGAGAATCGGTTGTAAGCCACTTTTTTCAGTGCTATTGCAACTGCAAATGTTAGTTAAATAAAGTCATAAGTCAAGGATACTATATATTCAGAAATACCAAAAATCATTCATTCAGCATAGAGGGACAAAATATTATTTATGCTTGGGAAGCAAGATAATATCGAGAAGAAACTCAGGCAAATTTTGCAAATCTGATTCCTCTTTACTTCCCCTCTACTCTTCGTATGTCCAAGTAAACCAGAGAGCATTTTCTTGATTCATTTCCTAATATTATCATGTTTCCCTTGGCATAAAGAATATTTCAATCCTCTATATAACAGTTCTTGCATATTTCTATCATGGACATTTCCCCGTACTCTTTTACGATTCCACTTCAGTCCTTTTTACTGGCCTTAATCTATCTCTTTATCCTGAGCTTGCATTCACCCTTGACCTTTTACTGTGCTATCTTGCCTATTCTGTAAAGTACTTTTAATATTCTAAAGTAAGAATGGCAACTATATTGCCTCAAAAAATTGCTATTAATTTCAATATTGAAAACTGCTATGAGTTGTAGTTTAGCAACATATGGAGGCTATAGATTTCCCATTGAGCTCAATTTTTTTTCCTGTATTTGTTGGAAAATCAATACCATATTATCCAGCAGTGGTTCCAGGTATTTTCAGAAGTTAGAATAGAAGGTACAAAATTGGACAAGTCAGAAATTAGAATAGAAAAATAGAATAGAATTCTTTATTGGCCAAGTGTGATTGGACAGACAAGGAATTTGTCTTGGTGCTCTCAGAATACATAAAAGAAAAGATACATTCATCAAGAGTCAAGTGACAAAATTACAATCATACAGTCACAAGTGGGAGGGGACGGGTGATAAGGAGTGATGAGAAGATTAATAGTAATAGTATTGCAGACTTGTAAATAATTGAACAATGTTGAGAGAATTATTTGTTTAGCAGAGTGATGGCGTTCAAGAAAAATTCATATCAATTGCAGCTGTTCACCAAGACAACAATGATTATCTGAAAACCTCCTGCCAGAAAATATAATTACATTTTCTAGAGGGTGCAGGATGTCTTTGTCTATCAGGAGACAAGGCCACAACAATTGATTGGTTATGGAATTGATTGGTTAATATTGCTGTGCATATGGGCATGCAGAGATACTGAAATAATGCAGACTAAGGCTGCTTTTGGGATTTGATCTGGAGTTTAAAATACAGGTATGAATATAACCTCAGGTATTTAGTACAGGTAGCATAACAACTGCTTTCATTAGGACAAGAAAGTGGACATTTTGAGTTATGTAAGGTGTTTGTGTTGTTGAAAATTGCTGTTTTAATACAATTTTTTTTAAACAAATTTTATTCAGTTTTTCACATTAAAAACAAAAAATCTCTTTTTAGCGGACAACCTATTTCCTTTACATACAAATATGACAGCAATTATACATTCATATATGCATACTTAATTCTATTATTACCTTTTCCATTCCAAATTTTCAGTAAGGAGAGAAACGAACACATTAATTCTAGCCTCTTTCATTAATATCAATCAAAACATCTCTTTGTTTCATTTTAATTATTTCAAATATAATCCTTTAATATTTATTTTAAAAGTAAAGATAAACAATATGTGTTTGCATAATAATAATAATAAACGTTACCAATATCTCTCCTTGCTTTTAATAGTCTATATTAACTTATTAATTTAGTTGGTTCTTTAGTCTGTCATATTTCCTTTCCATTATATATTCTTTTTATAAATTCTAGATTAATACAAATTTTAACACTAAAGAAAAACAAGTATAGATTTTCCCCCTTTTACTACTTTGAGTGTGACACCTCAATGATTAAAATATACCTTTATTCCGTCATCTTGATTCCCAATATACCATTATTTTTAAGAAGTTACAATAATAATCATTACATCTTTTCATTTGGATTCCGCAGCATATTTTCCCCCCTTAATTTTTAATAAAAGTTATCAGTATCTATATTGCCCTATTTTCTAAATATTTTAATTGCAGAAATATTCTTATTACCCCTTGTCACCCTGCAGAATCCCCTTTTTAATTCATCAACCATTATCTCTGAAAAAATCATTTATTTTCAATGTTTACTATTTCCGTATTTCTTTATTTCATGCACCTGTTTCTTACTGCTTCTTCTCCCCCTCTTTTCCCCATATCTTTTCTCATTCCAGTTTATATCCCTCTCTTTCTTAATATCTTCCTTTACCCTTTTCTGCTGGGAATTTCTGCCTTTCCCAACTTCACGGGTATTCCCCCCTTTTGATTGCCTTCTTAAATCTCAACTTTTTAACCTTCCTTCTTTCCCCACTTCTTTGTAGTGTTCTTTGTGTTAATTGTCTATTTAAAATGTCTTCTCCTTGAGTCGACTGTTCCTCCTCTGAAGCTCTTTCTTCTTGTTCTTCAATCACCATTTCCATTTTTTCTAACACAGAACAAAGTGATTTGCCTCTTTCCTGTAGTAATTCTCTCATATTTTTAAGTTCCATTTTTAATTCCCGAAGAGATATCATTACACACTCTTATATTTTATGATTGTTAAAGTCCACAAAAAAAAAAAACACTTTTACTTTCCTTCTTTCAATTTTCTAAAGTTCTCAATTATTCCAGCCGAGGGTCTATACCAAAAACATCAATCAATCCCACAGTCAGTCTTTCCTTGCTTTTTTCTTTATTCTGGTTCTGCTTTCAGTTTCTCAGATTCTTACTTTGTTTCAATATTTCTTTAATGTTATATCCACACAAGTTCATTCAGAAACAAGATGCTTTCCCTTTTGTTTGAGCTCAAGTTTTTGTCAAAAGGTGGCATTCTTCATTATACAAAGTCTTCACCTTTTTCCCCTATTTTTTTTGTTTAGGGTTTTTTGAACCTCAATATTACAGCACAGTCCAGTCTCCAATTTGTAAACTTTATTATTATTATTATTTGACAATCTTAAGTCCAGCTTTATTTTATTCCTGTTTATTGCCAAAATATATTAGTCCAATTTAGTTAAATCTTTAGTTCCAGCTTCTTCCTTTCCTGGTTCAAAGCCCCGCTTAGCTGTCAAAAATATTTTCTTATTTTTTTTTTCCTGTTCCTTTCTAATTTTGCCGCTCACTTTTCTTTTCTTAACAATTCTACGTTACCTTAATCCCAGGGTACTTTTGTTTCGTTGTATTGCCCAGTTGTCCCGGTTCAGATATTATCCACCTCTTTCTTCCCTCCTGCACAAAGCTTAATCCAGCTGGGTCCTCCTCTTCGGGGTGGCCATTTTAAACTACCACTGCAGTCATCTTGGGGGGGGGGGGAGACCAAGCCCAGGAGGGAAGATGCGGCTCCCCTCAACCTGGCTTGTGGCTTCCCCTTACTCCGCCACCCCTCCAAGGCAGCTTCAGCCCCTAATCATAATGATCAGGGGTCTCCAACGAAAGAGCACGGATCATAGCCGCAGAGAGTCACGATCTACGGTCCGCCAGCGAGGAGGCTCTGCCTTCTTCCGATTCTGTTTTAATACAAAATCTTTGTCAATCCATAGATTTATTGAAAGTATAAAGAGAAATTTTACAGCATGTTTTACTCTGCATATATGAAAATATACTTGCTCTCATGAGAGTTAACTTCGACCTCTGTTATCTATGTATTAAATTAGCAAATGCCTCTTTTGTAGTACTTAAATGTTTGAAATAATATAACCACTGTGTTTTATTTGGTTGTTCCTTAGGCATCATCGGGTATTACAATCCCTAAACCCCCAAAGCCTCCAGATAAGCCACTCATGCCCTACATGAGGTACAGCAGGAAGGTGGGTACAAAATGCTTGGTCCTGGTTAAAGGTCTGTCTCATCTTAACCTATCTCATGGTTGTTCTAAAATGTGTTTGAATTCAAAAGCAAACCTGTTACTACAGCTTTGCTTAAGTTTTTTTTTCCTTAAGGGAAAATTAAGAACTCAGTGGCTTCTTCCTTTCACAGTGAAGGCAAAAGCAATCTACCCACAATGGAGGGGGGGAAATAAGATTCTCCACAGAATGAAACATAGCCACCATACTGTTGCGGAGAAATGAAGACCCTTTTTATTGACTATTTTTTAAAAAGCTTAAAGTATAGTACTGCTTCCTCTGCTATCAAGGATGCATCAGGTGCCTTATTGGCAGAATTTTCTATATTAAAAGTATCCGCTTTCTGTGGCAAAGCAGGATTGGCGCAACTCCATAACTGGACTTTGCAATAGTGACAGTAGGATCTACTTTGCTCTTTAAAAGATGTTTTTGTTTTGGAATTCTGTTCTCTTACTTTAGAGAAAGGAAATAAGGGTGTGGTGTCACACACCCTCCTTTTTCCTTTTCTTGTTTTTAATTCACTGGCTTTTTTTCCTGATAAAGAGCTTAGGTCTTATGGACAGCACCTGATCCAGTCCAGTGTCAAGGAGTAACTAAGTCAAAAGGAGGACTGTGATGTTACCTGCTTTTCTATCTCTGGTTCTTTAAAATCCATTGCTTCTCTTAAGACAAAAGAGAAGAACCATATTCAGGATTTAAGGGAGAGGATGCTGTGAAAAGGATGGTATTCAACTATCAATAAAGCCAGGCAGTAGATAAACATACCTCTGTCTTCCCACCCCAGAGAAATAATCAAACAGTGGACATAGCATAGCCCAAAATAACTATCTAGTGTAGCCTTGCTTTGTGGTGATAATTCTCTGAAAGGACTGTAGTCGTGGTAGTGATATTAACAAAACATGTGTTTATTTTGTAAGTATTTAGTTAGCTGGAGCTTTACTACAGATGTTTTTTATTAAGGTCTGGGACCAAGTGAAGGCATCCAACCCTGACTTGAAGTTATGGGAAATTGGGAAGATCATTGGAGGGATGTGGCGTGACCTCACTGATGAAGAGAAGCAAGAATACTTAAATGAATATGAAGCAGAAAAGGTACACAGAAGAAATCTCCCTCTCACTCCCAAATGACGCTGGAAGTCTGTCTTTCTCTTTCACACACATAAAGCTAAAGTAAAATAAAAAAAAAGACTGGTTCTGGAGGTCACTTACGGGCTTACGTACAGGGCCATTATTAAGGAAAGAAAACTCAAATCAATTTTTGCTGTGCATGGTCAGATCCACTAAAGAATTTTAAGGAGAGTATGATAGAATCACGATACCATGGATGACCTGAAAAGAGCCCAGCTTTAGTCAAAGTACTCTCCCTCTCTACCCCCAACTAAACATCTGAGCATAAAGGCACCTGGAAATAAAGCACAGTTAATGAGACTCCCCTCTTCCAGTTCCTCCCAACATCATATTCTTCTGTACTTCCCTTTGCTGAAATGTTTAAATGCAATCCTACCCTGCTTCTGGCTGTGAGACCCTTGCAGAAGAGAGCAATTGTGTATCAGTAAACATCCCTGAGGTATACGTCTCTTGCTTGTCCTTGTGAAGTTGTCCTTGTGTACTGCAAGGATTTCTTAATTGATTGAAATTCGTAAGATTATGGGAGATAAGGTTTGGGGTGTGTGTGTGTGTGTGTGTGTGTGTGTGTGTGTGTATTATATGTATGTTTGTTTGTTTGTTTAAAAATTGTATCTACCTACCTGTAGATAGAGTACAACGAATCAATGAAGGCCTATCATAACTCACCTGCTTACCTTGCCTATATCAATGCCAAAAGCCGTGCTGAAGCTGCACTGGAGGAAGAAAGCCGGCAAAGGCAATCTCGAATGGAGAAAGGTGAACCTTATATGAGTATCCAGCCTGCTGAGGATCCAGATGGTAAGCAAGAGAGGAAGAAATAGTGTTGCTGGCCACAAAGAATGACATCCTTGAGTTGTAGCTTCTTTTTACTTGGCAATAGAATTTTTCAGGATTCAGAAATCAATCTCATATTCTTTTCTTAAAACAACTTGCTGGGGAACCAGTTGTGATTTGGAAAAAATTCTGTAAATATCACAATTCTTAGTTTGGGATCTGCACATAAATAGGATGAAGCTGCATAAAACAAAAGCAATGGTATTAAACTTCCATCAATTATTGTTTTGCAATCTATAACAGATTTATTTTTATCCCATCTTTATTAATTCTGTATTATAAGTTAGCAAAGATTCATAAAACTGTCGTCTACTTTCATGCTTAAGGCAGGACCAGAACTCACAGTACTTTCTAGCCTGGTACCTTGACCATTAGACTAAATAGTTCTTACATGAACTAACATAGTTCTATCATCAAAAGTAGAAAATTTAAGATCTTCTCTTGCATGAATATTTGCCCCCAGCTGGATTTAATTAATGTACTTTAGAAAAGTATGTATTCTAGCATCTTGATTTTTGCAGACTGGACTTAACAGTTCATTTAACAGTTCTGAAAAATAAACTCGGTTTTTCACTTGCAGTTACAAAGGAAGTTGCCTATTGAGTAGAGATGTGTAAAATTGTCCCAAGGGGTTGTACAAGAGAATAAACAATGTCTTCACTTATTTAAAGACCTTGAGTCTTTTTCATAGGAATTTGAGAACAGATTTGAATTGTACCATAAAAATAGCAAAATCAGATCAAGAAGTCAGAATATTCAAAGAAGTAAGGAAAAATAATTGAAATGCTAAGTATTTTTTATTATTATTAATTTTTTCAGTCCTCTAGATCAGTGGCCCCCAACCTTTTTTGTGCCACAGCCCAGTACTGGCATCACAAAATGATCCGCGGCCCGGTACCAGCATCAGCACGCATGGCAAGGCGAGCCGAGCGACCGGCCAGCTAGCCATCCCCTGCTTCTCCCTGCCACCTTCAACTCCTCCTTTGTACCTTTGTCACTGGGCTTTGGGACGGCTTTGGGACGGTCGCTCGGATCACCTTGCCTTGGGGGCTGAAAGAATCCTCGCGCCTTAGTTTTGTTTGAAGCTGCCCCCCCCCTTCGATGAAACTAAGGCGTGAGGATTCCTTCAGGACGCAAACGCCGCTTTCCAACGCCGCTCACCAGAAGCACTTTCTCATCAAAACAAGATGGCGACGCCCAGCAAACCAGCGGCCCAGTAGAAAATGTTCCACGGACCGGTACCGGTCCGGGGCCCGGTGGTTGGGGACCCCTGCTTTAGATTCTTTGCCCAAGCCAGTTAAGGTCCGATGAATTGTTAGAAACTTTAATCAGTTTTTTTTATTTCCATGTTTCAGATTGAGGTGAAGGTTGAAATTGATACAGTATAGCTTGCCTAAATCACCCACTGAGTTCTCACAGTTGACTAGCAAGCCTTCCAAGTTAAAGCTCTTGCCCTAAATATAATATGGAAGTTCTTCACTTACATTTTAAGATATATTTGAAATAAGATACCAAGATTTATCCTGGATCAGTCATCTATGAATATCTGAGTAGAATTGCTTTTTAAAGTTTACTTTGTATAGATCCAGCAGCTTCAGCTTCTGCTTCTGTCATTTTTTTATTTTTTGAGAGGGGAACTGTTCATCTGAAAATATATTAATCTCTTCAGCCCCACTTTTCCTTTTCTGTTAGACAAGGATAATATTTTATTTTTTTTAATGCAATGCAGTCTCATTTTGGAATAAGTTCAATGCTGAGGTTAAAAATCAGGGAGACAGATTTACCTTTATGCTAAATCATATAACCATGGCATATTCCTTTCTAAAGCATCAGTTTTCATCGTGGGAGATTCAGAAAAATAAGCAACCATACATATCTTATAAAAGATATTATAAACAGTCATTCAGTAGTACAATGACCATACGTTTCCCAGTCTCTCATTGACTCCGTCTTGTGCTGTGCACTACCAGAAGTTCAAAGGCTGTACATCTCTGCCCCAAGTATTTATTTTGTGACTCCCAGAAGCTGCTGGTTTTTAACAGTTATTATGGTTGGTCATGCAATCAGCCAGGTGTTTAGATAGGATTTAGCATTTTTTGTCCACCTATTCTAAGAACCTGGGTGGGCAAATATTGTTTTTTAATAAAGATACCATTGCAGATAAATATACGTCTGTCAAAATAAAGCTGCCATTTGCAATTGACTGATGGTGATTTATCAATGCCAGCGATGTTCAATGCACCAGCTGTTTTGGGATTGTACCCAAAGTGCCTATTGTTCTTTCCCTTCTTTTACCAAAGTCATTCCATTTCTGTTTTCAAGTCTTTGTTTTCTCCAGTTCTTTCCCTTCTCTTATGCTGTACTGCAACATCCACTATCCAGATTTTGTCTTATTATTAACAGTTTTTAAGTTTCAGATATTAGGTAGCAGATGTTTGCCGGTTCAATTATGTTAAATTCTAAAGCTCCAGAGCACATTAGTTTCTTCATTTTTTATTATTTTGTCTATTTTGTGGTCATTTCTTGCTTTCAGGCAAATGGAATTTTTGCAAATATTCCAATACATCATTGTGTATTTTGTCATGCGATTTTTTCTTCTAGTTAATCTATGTGATTTTCTTGCAGCAGCTAATTAGACAGTCCAATATTTCTTTTGCTTCTTTGCAGATGTGGCATTTGTTTTCTCTTGTTATTTTCTTTGCCTTTTTTAAAATGTACTGGCCATGTTATACTTTGCTTAACCATGTCCCTTTTCTATTGTCACTTAGACTCTCTTGCAGGTTTGCTTTCTAGTACTCAGTAAGTCTTCATAGTGTAGTAGCTCCAGTGCATCTTCTTCATTATCCTTCAGATATACTTTAAATGCCTTTTTTTTTTCAGCTGTCTGATGTACTTACAACATTCCATATCTGTCTATTTTCCTTGGTAAGAAGAATCTGTCAATATTGCTGCATAGATGAAGGACGTGATTCATTGCAATTTTTTTTCTAGTCTTCCTATCCAAGGTTTTTAGTTCCACTTGAATCCAGTCCACTATTCCAGCTGTGTATCTAAATGACTGGAATTGTCTTGATGTCAGTTGCCTCGATGGTATGTCATCCACTGACTTTAAGATCTTCACTCTTCTAATGTATTAAACACTAACCACCTTCTTAATTTTATTATGCTTGATGTTGTCAGCCTGAAGGATGCCCAGATATTTGTAGTGATCATTTTCATCCAGACTAGATATTGAGAGGGCATCTTGATTCCTTCAGTTTTCTGTAGTTTCCCCCTGTTGATGGTAAGAGTGGCACTTCTGGTCAGCCCAAACTCCACTGGAATATCCTAGCTATATACTTGGACTTGGTTGAGCAGCGATTCCATTTCAGATGTGTTTTTCCATACAGGTTCAGATTGTCCATGCAAAGTAGAAGGAATAGCCTAGCAGTTGGTTTTTAATATTTGATAGCCTTGGCCTGACTTGTTCTGTATTGCTGATAGAGAAATCAGTACAATGACAAACAGTAGTGATTCACTTGGAAGATTCATCTCTTAATGTTAATTTGTCCCAATCTTTAATTAATGATCAGCAACTGTCTTCCATTGAGCTTTATTATTATTATTACTATAAATGGGCCAATTTGCTTTCAGCACTAAATTAGCGGAGCTCGGTATCTTCTCTTAAAGTTCTTCCCCACATGTTGCACCCTGTATCTTTTATTAGGTTTTTATTATCGGCGGAATATTTACTATACTCTGACGCTACCAAGAGTTCATTATTGCCTGCATGAAAACTCTAAATTGTTTAGAGAAAGAGCCTCCCTGCCCCAATTTTGTGATATGGGTCATGGGTATTTTAATTCTATAAACCTGTAACCTTGCTGCCAGGATTCAGAACTCCAGTATCTGGGCGAGAGAATCCCTGAATTGTATGCTCACTTGGAATTATTAGGATGGGCTGTGAGGGCATATAAATATGATTTGCTCTCTCAGATATCATTTTAAAAGTTAAACTTAAGTAAAATATATTGTGTATTAACAGATCTAATGGCCCCATATATAAATACCTTTAGCATAGTTAGCTTTTCAGTTCTTTTTTTTTTTAATATGGAGTTCGTTTTTTGGAGGGGATAAACTAGAAATTCAAGATTGCTGCTCAGAGACACTTTTCCAAAAATAGTTTTGGAAAAGACCAATCCTGTATCTAATATTCGTCATTCTGTCTTTTTTAAAAGCACTTTGGAGAGATTCTTTGACTCTAGACTCTTTGATGTTTCTGATTTTGACAGGAAGAAAATGGGTGGCTATGAATTCACAATTAAGTTCATTAAGTAGATATTTTCATAGGGAATGATGACACAGAAGAGTGAGAGCTTGTTATGTGTGATTCCTTTAACCTGCTCCAATCATCTTTAAAATGGTGACTGACCTTTTTTCTATTTAAAATATCAAATCAAAATATTCATTATATAAGGAACTTGTATACAGTAAATATTTTACAAAATACGTTTTGTTTTACATAAAATATAGTTCATTTTTCCCAGTGCTCATTTTTGCAATTTATAATATTGGGGTAAATCATCTTTAATTTAAAACTACCTTGTAACTGATAATAGCAAGTTATTATCAGTAAGCAAGTGGGCTGATGGAAGAGAGAGAAAAACCTGTTGGGCATCACATAGAAGAAAGTTTTCCTTACCAAGCCTTTGTGAGCCTGTATATATATATATTTTGGTTGGATTATACTTTTTTAAAACTTTTATACCAGGCCAAACCCAGTAATAGACTTCAATGAGCAGAGAACAATTTGCTTCCAAATTAAACTTATATGGGATGCAATTGATTTCATCTAATTAAAAATCATTTATCATTCCCATATGGAAAAAGCAGTCGTGTATAGTGATATTTAGAATAAGAAAGATTGAATTTGAAACTTAATATAGTTGTAACTGTCTATCCCTTTTAAATGTGATATGTTTTGGACTACCTTTTCATAGTCTTCACTATGGTTCATGCTGGCCAAGGCTAATGCAAATATAAATTCAAAACCTCTGTTGTCTATGCTTGGCACCTGAGAGATAAGTTTGATTGTTTGCCTCCATGTCTCAACTAAGTTATCCCCGTTTGTACGAATTTGCTGGATAGATTAAAGCTGACATTAGAAATTTGCAGATTGCAAAGACCCTTTTTTGCAGCTTTTTTTCATCCATTATGGCACAAAATATGTGTTTGAATAGTAGTAATTATTTCCTGACAATTTTTCATTGAATATAATTCTAATCCTTTTCTGAGTGAGCAATTGTGATTGAAATTTGGGGGTTTCACAACCAGCAAGTGTTTAGGGCTATTGCAGAGTCCTGCAGTCATGTGAGATCAACATGTATGCAACTTCACAGCTGGTTTCTGGCGAAGTGTCAATAGAGAAGCCAGCAGTAAAATCATTAGTTGCAGTCATAGGATGTCTCACTGAATAATCTTCGGTGACTCATTTATTGACCAAATGTGAAATGATACCATAAGTAATTCACAGTGACATATTTTGTTTAGCGATGGAGTTGTCTGTACCAATTGCATCCATTAAGCGAGGACTATCTAAAATTGCATTGACACTTTCATTTCTCTGCATCAATCCCACTGGATCAGATTCCATTCTATTAATATCTCTTACTTCTTTTGTTTGTATAGACAGCTAACATATGTTTCATTTGTATGTTTCATTTCTAATTCATGTTTTTTACTATGTATTTCTCTTACATATCAAATTGCAATCTTCCATATGTTATTGTCAATGCCAAATAGACCCATGTACAGTATTGACCTGCACTACTCACCATATCTTTGTTCAATCAAAATTTTGACCAAATATTGTTATTTTTTATAAAATATAGAAATCTAGACCAGGTGATCCACCCTTGGCCATTTGTATGCGATTATTGCATTGCTTGATAATAGTGTGGATATATTAGACATAAATAGCACATTTCAATATGCCACAAATGCAGCCAAATCCTAATGTTACTTATGCTATTCTATACAATTAGAGATGACTCTGCAAGCCAATATATTAATATCTGCAAACCTTTAGTATATGAAATGTAGTAACATACATTCAGGATGTATCTTAGCAAAGCTATTATTCACTTCTCTGTTACATGAAAACCAACTATTTTATCTTTGCAGGACTGAATCATTCTGTGGTAAGGAAAATTAAATTTTACAATCACTATTTAGTAGCCTGCGTGAGTGTATATTTTGCATGTATTTTTATTTTGTATATGTCAACTTTTGAGACATCAGGAATTCAGGAAAAAAAAAGCTGAAATGTTTTGATTGATATTAAATTGATAGAAAGGAATAAAGGAACAAAGTTTATGCCAGATTAAATGGTCATCACTGTGCATGATTTTGTTTCAGATTATGATGATGGATTTTCTATGAAGCATACTGCTACTGCCCGTTTCCAGAGAAACCACCGCTTAATTAGTGAGATCCTGAGTGAAAGCGTAGTCCCTGATGTTAGATCTGTGGTTACTACAGCAAGAATGCAAGTCCTCAAACGCCAAGTCCAGTCACTAATGGTTCATCAGGTAAAATATTAACATCAATTGAGTGGGATGAGGTGAGATGGGATTTAGGAAAAGTTTATTTAGGGCAATGGATCCAGAATCATAAATGTTCATAATGTAGTTTGCCTGTTGTGTGATAATAACTGCAAGACCATTGGATAGATCTCCATCACTCATTTTAACTAAGTTCAGATTTTTTTTTATAATTTCTTCTAACCTTTGAGGCTTTTAGTTCTGTAAGCCTTTAACTTGAGAAAACTCATGATTTTGCTGTTACAGATTTGCTTTACTGCAAATGTTGTAGTTACATAAACCAGATTTGAAACTGATCTGTGGTATTATACAAAGATTTAGAAAGAACCGAAAGAATGTTTAGTCTAAGTCACTATTATGAGACAAACTAATTTTTTCAGCAGTATTTTTGCTGCTTCTTAACCAGACTTTGTGATTGTGTAAAGCACAACTGACGTATAAATTGAGAGCCAATAAACCACAGATTCTTATGGATAGGTAACTCAAGCTAGTATGCATTCAACAGCAATAACTTTCCAAATGAAATTGATTATTATATCCAACAGATATCTGTGTGCAATAGCATTTCCTCCCATATTTTATAAAAGTTCAATCTGTCAGTTTGTTGGTACAGGTTATGTCAGTTAACAGAATATGCAAGGTGAAGAAGCAGGAGACCATTTTCTTTCCTATAAAATAACTAGGGAATTCGGGCAGGAGTTCATTAATAGTTTGTTTTGAATTTTCTTTATTCTCCCATGAGCTGTTCAGAACATCCAGAAATGGGAGATGCTTCAGTCTCTTCTGGAAAGGCTGGGCTTAAAACTTCGGGACGCTCCTCCTCCTCCACGGAACACCTCCTCAGTGTCCCCCAGTTTTAGCTCAGCCTTCATGGTAAGAGGTTGTGCATTCCCTGACTGGAACAGTTTCTGATTCAGGTTTGCTCTTGGGTTATTTTAGCTTTTAAAAATCTTCCCCATTTAATTTGGCTTTTTCAGGCTGGTCCCTCTATTAGCCTACCTATTAGGCTAGTTCAAAAAACCGTTTCTTTGTAAATAGCGGAGCCTGCCACTCCGCAGGCAGCTTGAGGCTACCACCTCAGGCAATTACCTTATCTAACTTTCCGATCATCTTCTCTGAAATCATAGTGGAGCGCTCGCAGCCGCGGCTCACTTCGCCTTGCCGTTTCGTCTGACAGGAGCATTTAACTCGCAAGTTAGAGCCTCAGCAGCAGCGGCTCATTAGACAGCTCAGACATTAGCAACGGAGATTCTGCTTCCTGCCCTTTTCAACGACTGGCTCAAGTTCGCGCCTAATAATCACAGGCACCATTCCCCACTGGTTTCCCTTTTTGGGGACCGGGACAGTACGTTCCCACTTTGTTCTCCCTGGGTTTACCTCTCCCTTGTCTGGCTGACGTTGGATAAGCAGGCTAGTCATTAAACAGGCATTTCTTTGCAATTGCCTTCGGATCATTTCTTCGGAGTTATTGGCCTTTTTACAGGAGGGGTTGACCAAGGGCCTATCTCCAAATACTTTAAACAGACAGGTGGCGGCTTTAGCCTCAGTGATAGCCTGGGGTGACCTCTGGTCCATAGCACACCATCCACATGTCTGCAGCTTTCTTAAGGGTGCTGCAAACTTACGACCTCCTGTAATTCACCGCTATCCCACCTGGGACCTCAACAAGGTGTTAACCGCACTTACAACTGGCCCGTTCCAGCCTTTAAAAACCAATAGTCTTAAATTCCTGACTTATAAGGTGGCCTTCCTAATTGCAATCACATCAGCAAGGAGGATTTCCGAATTGGCGGCATTGTCAATGAGGAAGGACCTGTGCGTGTTTTATGCGGACAGAGTGATTCTCCGATTGGATCCATCGTTCACTCCTAAAGTAAATCCAGCCTTGCACAGAGCGCAGGAGTTGGTGCCTCCAAATTTTTGTCCGAAACCATCTCATAGACTGGAGCATCACTGGCATTGACTTGACGTTCGAAGGGCCTTAAGCATCTGTCTAGATCACACGACGGCATTTCAAAAATCTGAGGTTCTATTCCTGTCCTCCACTTTAGGGCAAAAGGTGTCGTCGACGACCATCGGTAGATGGTTGAGAGCCACCACACCTAAAACTTACAAATGCCAGTCCATCTCAGTTTCCTAAGGGCATTGCAGCCCACTCAACAAGGAGTGCGGTAACATCAGCAGCATGGGCCACACAGGCTTCCATAGGCAAAATTTGCAGAGTGGCAACTTGGGCTTCACCATCTCCCTTTGTCAGAAATTATAAAATTGATGTCTATGCCTCAGCGGATGCTTCATTTGGCAGAAGAATCCTGCAGAGGGTTCACAGAGTTTAGGAGTGGATTTCGATCCAGACGGAGTCCCTCCCTAAGGACTGGCCAAGCTTTGGTATGTCCCACTTCTGGATGCTCTGAACAGCTCATGGGAGAAAGGGCGTTGGTACTTACCTAATACGCCCGTTCTCTGTGAGCTGTGAAGAGCAACCAGCCCCACCCATTTCTTTCCGTCTGGTGGGGTTCTGTTCCAATCAGGGATCTAGATTAGGTGATGAGTCCCGGACTTTGGCACTCAGTCTTCGCAAAACTGGGGGACGCTGAGGAGGTGTCCCGTGGAGGAAGAGGAGCATCCCGGAGTTTTAAGCCCAGCCTTTCCAGAAGAGACTGAAGCACCTCCCACTTCTGGATGCTCTTCACAGTTCACAGAGAACAGGCGTATCAGGTAAGTACCAACGTCCTTTCTCAGCCTGAAGGATTGTATCTCTTTCCCACTATTAACATTTTCATATTATCCCATTCTTTTCAAATTAGCAAGAACATTTTTCTATGAGTCAATGAATCAGATTTGAATTATCCTCCAAATTAATTCTTATATCTGAAAACACGTGCTAAGGTTATGAATATTTCTGCTCATAGAGCTCACCTCTCTGACTTGCCTTTGGGAGAGGGATAAAGAATGAGATCTCACCTAAGTACCTTAGATTAAGGGCTAGTATGGGTCCATGGCCTATTAGGAACTGGACCCACAAACAGTAGGGAAGGAAGCGAAGCTTCATTTGCGCATTTGTAGGATCGCTTAATTGCAAGCAAAACCATTCCCCCTCCCCCAATCCAATCTGTGGGAAAGGGTCATTTTGAGGGAAGCAGTTTATGTCCGGGATGTGAGGGGTCTGTAAATACTTTCACAGCCCTCTTTTTGACTGGTGCAGTATACAGGTCCTCAGTTGAAGGCAGGTTGGTAGTAATTGTTTTTTCTGCAGTCCTAATTATCCTCTGAAGTCTATGTCTATCCTGTTGGGTTGCAGAACCAAACCAGACAGTTATAGAGGTGCAGATGATAGACTCAATAATTCCTCTGTAGAACTGTCTCAGCAGCTCCTTGAGCAGTTTGAGCTTTCTGAGTTGGCGCAGAAAGAACATTCTTTGTTGTGCTTTTTTGATGATGTTTTTGATGTTAGGTGTCCATTTTAGGTCATGTGATCTAGTAGTACCTAGAAATTTGAAGGTCTCTATTGTTGATACTGTGTTGTCTAGTATTGTAAGAGGTGGTAGTATGGGAGAGTTTCTTCTAAAGTCTACCACCATTTCTACGGTTTTGAGTGTGTTCAGTTCCAGATTGTTCCGGTTAGACCACGAGGCAAATTGTATAACCTCCTGTCTGTATGCAGATGAATTGTTGTCTCAAATGAGACCAATCACTGTTGTGTCATCAGCAAACTTCAGTATTTTAACAGATGGATCGTTTGAGATGCAGTCATTGGTATATAGGGAGAAGAAAAGTGGAGATAGCACACAGCCTTGGGGGGGCCCTGTGCTGATTGTACAGGTATCGGATGTGATTCCACCTAGCTTCACCTGCTGCTTCCTGTCTGTTAGGAAGCTTATAATCTGCTTACAAGTGTGTTCAGATACCGCTAGTTGGTGTAATTTACTTAGAAGAGTGTCTGGAATGATGGTATTAAATGCTGAACTGAAGTCTACAAAGAGGACCCTTCCATAGGTATTTGGAGATTCAAGGTGTTGTAGGATGTAATGCAGAGCCATGTTAACAGCATCTTCTGTCGATCTATTTGCTCAGTATGCAAACTGCATGGGATCTAACAGCGGATCCCTGATGGTTTTCAGGTGGGACAGCACAAGCCTTTCAAAGAATTTCATAACTACAGATGTTAGAACAACTGGTCTGTAGTCATCCAGTTCCTTGATGGAGAGCTTCTTTGGCACTGGGATGATAGTAGAACGTTTGAAGCAGGAAGGAACGTAGCACATCTCTAGTGATCTATTGAAGATTTGGATGAACATGGGGGCCAATTGGTCAGCACAGACTTTTAAGCAAGAAGGAGTTATCTTGTCTGGCCCTGGTGCTTTTCCTGGCTTCTGTCTGTGTAATAGATCTTGCACTTCTTTTTCTGTGATCACCAGAGGTTGTGAGCCCAGTGGATTGGGGCCAGTTGTAGGAGGCGTGGCTGTTGTTGGTGTGTTTGAGATGTGGGTTGTGGAGATAGGTAGCTATAATTTCTTTTCAAACCTGCAGTAAAACACATTCAGGTCATCTGCCAGTTGTTGATTTCCTTCTGCCTGGGAAGGAGGTTTGCTGAAGCCAGTGATGTTTTTAAGAGTTTTCCACATGTTTGCTGGTTCATTTGTTGAGAATTGATTCTTTAACTTTTCAGAGTATCTTCTTTTTGCTGCTCTGATCTCTCTTGTTAATATGTTTCTGGTCTGGTTGTATAGCATTCTGTCACCTTTTCTGTATCATCTAATATATATTTTGTGTTCTATCACAAAAATGCACCTATTGAATTAAATGGAACAAGAAGCTGCTGCTTTTAAAAATACTGCTGGACATTTTTATTAACATGGAAAGAGCAGAACCTAGTTTTCAACATATGTATTAAATTATAGGTATTGGTAGATTTTTTGGTTTAATGTTGTAGCTGCTAATATTTAGAACACAAAGCAAGTGGTTTATTCTGAATTGTTACTCTTTAAATTCTTAATTCTATAATGTTGAAACTTACACAGTATAAATAAATAGTATATACTTGCATAATTCTTATAATATCCCATAAGGAAATTTTGAGCACTTTTCATAGACATCAGGTAAATTCAGATTAGCCATAAAACTAGTAATTTGTGAGAGAGTAGGATTTCTAAATGCAGGATAAGTTTTGGCATAGGAGAGATATGCCATTTGCCACATGTTTTAGAAAGATCTGAAAAGGATGATTCAGGTGTTCATATAATCAGGCATGGATATTTGCCTTATTCTGAAACAATATGTGAAAAGCATTAAAGGTACTTACAGCCTTTGAATCAAGTTTCTGTTTTCCAATTTGCAAAGCATTCAAGGTATACTGTTGTATTGCAAAAAAATCAGTTTCCCTTTTTCATGACTTACCTCAGCAATCGAATATACCACTATATTTCAAATAATGTGTATTTGTTTTTTCACTGAATATTTTCATTTTCCCCTCTCCATAGCGTAAACTTGAAGCTGAACTCCTTCAAATAGAAGAACGTCATCAAGAAAAGAAGAGGAAGTTTTTGGAAAGCACGGAATCTTTTAACAGTGAACTTAAACGGGTAGGGTTCCCTAGAGCGTTTCTGCTTTCACTGAACATATGTAGAAATCTCTGATCTTTTTTAACTTCAGATGGAAAAAAGAGTTGCATGTTAAATCTAATATTGTGGTGCCCCACACCTGCAAGTTGCCTGGGGGCAAAAATCATACTTTCACTTTTTTTGTATATTTTGTGCTTGGATCCTGCTGCCTAATGTTTTATTGGACATTAGTACAAATGAAGCCTGAGTTCAAAAGAATCTACGTGATGATCTGGATCAACCTGCATCTATGATTAGTTTTATTTGAAGAAGGATCCCTGATGCCTTTTGTAAACATTTTTGCTACATTCTACTGAATAATTTGGAAACAAAAATTTAAAAATACCTCCCTCTGTACCAATGCTAACTTTAAAATAAAAGAAATACAGGCCCAAAAAGTTCACAGCTTTTCTAACTAAAAAATTAAGTTGGAAATAAATGGCTGTCCAGATGGCCTTCCATATTTTTGAACTAGAATTCCTTGCCTAAGGAAGAAATTTAAAACATCTGACAGATACCAATGCACTACATTTTTCCTACATTATATGTCTGGGTATAACTATTTCACCTGCCATTTGATGAGTAAATTCAAATGATTGAATATACCATCAAGTATAAAAGAGGGGAGAAGGTAACCAATGACCTCTGGGCAACAATGTAACCCTCTGGAACGCTGTCCTATCTGCCACTGTGCAATTGGTAAACTGTGCAAAGGTGCAGTAAGTTAAAATACTCTCTATGGTGCACCAGTAGAAGACCACCAGCAGTTTCTCATTAAGTTGTTGTTTCCTGAGAAGTCTCAGGTAGTATAATTTGCTGGGCCTTTTTAACCAGTGTTGCAATGTGAGTGCCCCAGGTCAGGTCAGGTCAGGTCCTCTTTTATGATAACATCCAGAAACTTAAAACTGGCCACTTGCTCCACTCAGTCTCCATTGAAAAGCAGGGCTGGATATCTGATCTATTCCTTCTATAGTCCACTATAAGCTCCTTGCTCTTACTGGTGTTAAGGACCAAATTATTGTCTCCACACCATGGAAGCCAGTCTACCTCATCGCGATAGGTAGACTCATTCCCCCTGGAGATGAGTCCCACCACCGTTGTATCATCATTTATTATACTTGATGAACTTTCCTATGGATACTCTTATAAATCTGCATTTTAGCCTATTTTTAGAACTCAATGATACTTCCATGTAGACACATCTATTACATTGTAAGCAAACTGTTGAATTCTCCTCAGATTTCCTACTTCTAAACTTCCTCATTTTTCCTTCAAAGAAAGAATTTAGAAAAGTGATGATAAAAAATTCATCTGCAGATATTATAACATTGCATAAACTATCAAAAACCAGTTCTGAATTGTTAGCAAATTGAATAGGTCAATGCACTCATTCAATAAATCCATATAAATGCAATACTAAAATATTGTAAAATGAAGTGTTGACTAAGAATTACAGATTACTTTAGAGTTATAACTGAATCACTGAAGAAATTTTCAACAGGTTTAGACATGTCTCATTAGAAATTTCACTATTGGCAAATAAGTTTCTTCATTGTCTGGCATGTGGATTAGCCTCCTTTGTTCCTTCTCCAAATTCTGTGTTCTTTTGGTACTTGGCTTTTTCATGTTGCCATGATATGTTTGGCACAGTTGTATTGCTTATAATAAAAATGATGCATTTGTTGTTTTCGAATTACAGTATATAGAACAGTAAATATTATAGAGAGTCAAGCTAAAGATGTATGGTTGTGTTTTCAACCTCTTAAGATTTCTGGGATTTTAGTATAGAGTACTATATCGTCATTTTCTAATGAACTTGTTTTTCTTGAGTTAATGGGAGATAAAATTCAGCTTATGCAAGGAGTATTCGATTGGCAAAGTTACCATACTGCTTATGCAGTGGATCGGTTGTTATAAAGCCACCTTGTGAAGTTTTGGTAAATAAGATTTAAATGGTTGTACAGGTAGTCCTCAACTTAAAACCATTCATTTAGTGACTCTTCGAAATTACAGTGGCATTGAAAAAGTGACTTATGACTGTTTTTCACACAATTATTGTTGTGTCATATAACCAAAATTCAGACATTTGGCAACTGGCATGTGTTTATGTCAGTTGCAGTGTCCCAGGGTCCCGTGATCACCTTTTGTGACTTTCTGACAAGAAGAGTCAATAGGGGAGCCAGATTTATTTAACAACTGTATTAGTAACTTAACAACTGTAGTGATTCATGTAACAACTGGCAAGAAATTCCCTTAACAGTCGTCTTGCTTAGCAACAGACATCTTGGGTTCCATTGTGGTCGTAAGTTGAGGACTGCTTGTAATAGACTTCTTTTCCCTTTGCTTGCTAGCTGTGCAGCCTGAAGGTAGAAGTGGACATGGAGAAAATTGCTGCAGAAATTGCGCAGGCTGAAGAACAAGCCCGTAAGCGGCAGGAAGAAAGGGAGAAAGAGGCTGCAGAGCAAGCTGAACGCAGTCAGACCAGCATGGGCACTGAGGAGGAGCAGGCAGCAGGCAAGGCAGAGGAGAAAAAAGAAGAGGGAACTCCTCCCATGGAAACAGGTGACTGGAGTGTGCACTGATCATCAATCACATATTGGAGATGAAAAGAAAATAGTGCCTTTAAAAAGAATCTTAGGGGAAAATTAATTTAATAGAGAGGACAAGTTTATAAAGTAGACTCTTTTTTCAACGATGTGAATTGCATATGGTTTGTTTTTCAGAAATTGCTGTCTTCCTCCCGTATCAAATAATCAAGCTTATTTTTTTCAGATATGATAATTTTTAAAATCTTTATAACGTATTTTCAATAAAAGTAGAACATTGTGAAGGGCTCCCTGACATCATAGTCCTCTCCCAATGGCTAAGAAGGCAGAAGTTCATTTCAGGAAAGTGAAACCACAGGTCACGCATTTTCGAAACAGAGGATTGGATTTATTTTAAATATTGAAGGTGGAATTTGCCTTAATTCAGCTGGAAATTTGGGGCAAGGGAGAAGACCGCTCTTCATGAATGGTTATATCTTGTATCCGTTTAACATCTGATTCATATCTCTGATCTCCCCAGTAAGAGCTCTTTCCAATTTACCAAATTATTGAATTTGACCAGGGGTGGGATTCAAAATTCCCAACAACTGGTTCTCTGCCCATTTTTCGCCCTCACATAGCCTTCGCTCGGGCCCTGCACCCAGCTGCATCCAAAACGAGCCGTGTGGAGAAGAATGCAACACTGTATTCAAAGTTACAACAACACTGAAAGAGTCCTCACACTTCCACTACATCACTACATACCCATAGTCACATAATCAAAATTCAGGCACTTGGAAATGAGCATATATGTGCAATGGTTGCAGTGTCCTGGGGTGACCCTGAGGAAGGGTGACTTCTCAGCCAGAAACAAAGCCAAAGGAGAAGATGGATTCACTTAACAACCACATGATTCACTGCAGTGATTTGTTTAACAAAAGGTCATAAAATTGGCTATGCTCACTTAACAGCCATCTTAGTTAACAAGGGAAATTTTGGTCGCAGTTGTGGTTATCAATTGAGGACTATCTATGCACCATAAGAGGGACAAAATGGTCTGCAAAAAACATTAGCCATTGAGCTAACAAAATGTATGCCTGATAGTTTTAAAGACTTCCTTTTTTCCCTCCTTTTTTGTCTGTTATCTTGTATTTGAAAAATATTCTAGTAATTGAAATTAAGGGTCTCACAGCATTTTGTTTTTTTGTTTTTTTGTTTTGTATATGTGTGACAGAAGAACCTCCTCCAGAAGAAGCTATTGAGAATCAGCAGAATGGTGAAGGGACGTCCACTCCTGAAGACAAGGAGAGTGGGCAAGAAGGTGTTGAAAGCATGGCAGAGGAAGGAACGAGTGATAGCAATACTGGTTCAGAAAGCAATAGTGCCCTAGCTGAAGAACCCCCAGCTGACCCAATAACTTCAGAAGATGGTGAAAAGAAAGAGTAAAAAGAAAAGAAAAAAATCACGTCTTTCCATATAGGTTTTCACTTTTTAAAAAGATTCGTGAATTGTAGTGGAGTTGATATGTAAGCTGTCATTAGTATGGTTTCTTCAGTATAATCCATGCATTTTTAATCTATATGCTATGATAAAAATGTAATAGTTACCCAACAATATGATTTATAAGAATAGCATCATATATTTAACGTAGCTTTATAATTGATTTGGCTATTGTCCTATATCTAAGCCCTTAAAAAGTTACTTTGTTCTCAGTTAGTAGCAGACGGCTTAGAGTGAGATGTATGTATTCCCAATTATAGCTTCTTTCAAATCTGATCAAAGTTACTACTTATAGAAACATTATCTTATAAATATTACAAGGTGCCTAATTCTCCTTACAGTTCCCTGTTTTGGAATCTGCAAAAGTAAAAAACACCTGCACTGTTGCATATGCTATAGACTTTCAGCACTAAAAGCCAGCATTGATAAAATGATATTTTTAATTTCTATACTTCTAAACCCCAAAGGCTTTCATCTGTCGTTCCTTGTATAGCTTACTTGTTTGCTTTATTGTTTTTTCTCCCTTGCAGCAATTCAGTTTCTTATGCAAGCAGAACACATATTCTCCCAAGGCATATGACTCTTTAGGCCATTCTTGTCCAAAATATAGTTGCATTATTCACCTTCATTATGTTCAGAGTAATGTGGGATTTTTTATTTTTTTAGGGGGGAGGGCTCTCTTCCGTTCCCCCAACAATACTCTTTGATGCCTTGGTTGACAATGAAGTTGTGTGTGGTAAAACATAATTCCTGGCAGTTGCTTAAAGTTTATCAAGCTTTTCTCCTTCACATCTGTACCAAGCAGCAAAAGTATAATTCACTAAACAATTCTCTAACAATAGAAGTCCAAAATATTTCTTACACCTTCATGTAGTTTTCTTTTTAATTAAGCATGAACGATCACAATTTTGCTTTAGGGTTAAAATTTCCAAGGAATTTATGTAAAAGATGGTAACTTTAACTAAAGAAAGGCACTAGGTTTTGTAGAAATTTCCTAATCCATTGTTGGTTTATAGATTTGTAATGCTTTTGTTTAGGTTCTTTCTTTTTTACTCTGTTTATTCAAAAAGTTTTTTGATATAATAAACCAGTACTTGTTTTCAAACAATGAAACAACTGCAGTAGTTTGTACTTGTCTTGGACACATTGATGATAAAGTTCTATTGCAAAGAAAGAAGCTAAAACAAACTAGAGAGATTTTAAAAAAGCAGAAGTCCTTGCAGTAAACCAACATTCACTGTGCCAGCACAATCCTAGGACATGATGGTAGGGGAAAATATATTTAAAATATGTCCACTCTTTTCAGTTAGAAATTGCTGAGGTTCAGCCAGAAATTGCTGTGGTTCAGCCAGAACTATTCACAATATTTGTGAAATATTTTTCAGTATTCCAGATAAGTACATGTCTTTCTCCTTATTTGTTTTGCATTTTTAAAATTTATTCTTTGCAGAAAAGGTATATATTTCCATAGTTTTCTCTTACATCTGTTTCCAGCTGACTTGCTGTTGATAATACTATCAGCCAAATCTGATGAGCTCTGCAAAAACAACTTTTTGGCATTTTTGTTCTAGTAATCCTGAGTTTTGTCTAGTAAGTGTTCATAATATGTTTTTTTAAAAACATTAAGCAAAACCCTAAATATACTCCCAAGGAAATGTTAGGATCATATTTGAGCCCCATTATACTAACCAAATCAAAACAATATATTTTTGATAACAGTGTCAAGAAAACCATTAAATCAGCAAAAACCTGCATCGGTGTAAAAAACTAATTTGTTGGATTGAGGTAATAAAATAAGCATCTTGGTTCCAAATGTTTCCTAACTTTGGCACAGTGTCTTGGCAATAAGATAAATGGGTTGGAAGAAATATGGATTGGATTTGCGTAACACACTTCAAATGATTATTAATATACCCATTTTCTTGATTTGCACAACTTTGAATCATAAATTAACCAAACAAACCAACATGCCAAACCACAAAAGAACATGATTACAATTAAGATTGAGAAAGTTTATATTATTGTTTGAATGTATTCACTAAATCTAAACGCTCAGTTAAGATATGTGAAACTACCTACAAAATGAGGCACATAGGACAGTTGTTACTCTAAACCTACAAATGAGGGCTTTGATTTTATAGTTAAATTCTGTATTGTAGAGGCAGGATTCATCCACATTTCTAAAATTCTCGTTAATGATCTTCTGTATCTTTTCTCTTAAACTTTTTCAAGCAACAGGCAAGTTCTTTTGGTGCAATAATCCTGAAAAGCTTGAGACTCTCGCCTGCAAGATACATATTTTTTGATGATTTCAATTTGTTTAGTAAAAGATTGTGTCATGATGCCCAACCCAGATTACATTCCTTTTTGACTTACCAAAAAAAAGTACAAGGGTAATTTGTGTCCCTCCACCTACTCTTTCTTGCCTCACTTCTTTTCCCAAGAACCTCAAGGCAATATACATAGTTTCTTCATTCCACTTCTAAATGATTGTGTAAAGTAGGTTAGACTGTGAAAAAGAATGACTAACTTGGCCCAAGATCACTCAGTAACTTTCATGGTGGATTAAGAATCTGAAATTTTATCACCCGTAGTCCTAGTTTGATACAATAACTCAATCTTCCTTAAACCAAATTCTTCCAAATGTTTGGTTTATAACTCTTATCGTTGGTCATTGTGGCTGCTCATGATGGAAACTTTAGCACAAAATAATTGGAAGGATGCAAATCAATGAAAGATGCTCTGATCATGGTACCATGCTGTTCTAATACTATCGATGCAGATTTATTTTTGGTGATACTTATGTTTATAGTACTTTCTGTTCTGTAAGAGCCTATGAAGTAGTTGTAACATTTTGCACAATTGCTCCTTGAAAGTTGGGTGTGGAGTAAATGATTTTTTCTAAGTACCTGAGGTAACTTTCAGAGTGTGTGTGTTCTTACGTAAAACCCCAGGAGGAATTGGCTCCTGAAGACAGTTTAAATCCATGCTATCAAAATTTCATTAACATTCTCTCCACCCAAAGCTCTAGTAGTCTTGTTCCAACATGTTCCTGTTCTATCTTGACTTCACCAACTTCAGGTATACTCAATATGGGTTTCTGTTCCTGGTTCTCTCCCTCACACCCCCACTCCCATATGACAGTCTCATAGGAGCCAGATGAAGTTTTGTAGTAACATCAAACTAGTTTGGAGTATCAAATTGGATAGAGGGAATTAAGAACAAATGATAAAATTAAGAGTAATTTAGGACATTTGTGGTTTTGCCGTAAGGGTTGAAACTGGTTATGTTAAATTGTCCAAGATCAAAGTGAAGATTTACGTGGGAAACTGTACAGAACCTTATATATGTAAATTTGAAGCAGGAAAATGATTGTAATCTATTGATTTTCTTCCCATGTTTAATGTCCAGAATTAAATATGTTTCTCAAATTACTGACTTTATGATGCTCTAGAGTTTCCTTGACATTTCTTAGGAAATTTACATGGGAAAAGAACAAGATCAAGGGAATGGATAGGAAGATTTTAGTAGGAAGATTTTAATAGTTTCAAAATAAGGTGTTTATTTTTTACAGTTTTTTTACATGTATCAACATATATATTTTTGAAAGTGCATCCTCCACTGAATGCAAACAGGCATCCATGATTCTTTATGACTTTCTGAACTTCAGAATACCAGAGTTGAAAAAAACGGCGTAGGTCATTTAGTCCAACCTCCCATCCAAGCAGGAGACCTACACCATTCTGACAGATGGCAGTCCAGTCTCTTGAAAGCTTCTAGTGATGAAGCTCCCACAATTTCTGAAGGCAAGCTGTTCCATTGGTTATTTCCAACCTTATTTGGAATATATATGTAAATATCCAATGATATTTACCTATTTCTAGGTTGAATCTCTCCTTGATCAGTTTCCATCCATTATTCCTTATTTGGCCTTCAGGTGCTTTCGAAAATCACTTGACACCTCCTCTATGTGACAGCCCCTCAAATATTGAAACTCTGCTATTATATCTCCCCTTCTCTTCACTAAACTAGCCATGCCCAGTTCCTGTACCTGTTCTTCATATGGTTTAGCTTTTAGTCCCCTAATCATTTTTGTGGCTTTCTCGGTACTCTTTCTAGAGTCTCAACATCTTTCTTATAGTGTGTTGGCCAAAACTGGAGGCAGTATTCTAAGTGTGATCTTCTGCTTCTTCTATATGTTTCCAAATAATTTTGGAATGCAAGAATATATTTTGCTTATTTAGAGCTGATTTATTCCCCCTTCATGCCAAAGTAATTTGGCTGTTTGGGGGATATGATGCCATTTTTCATGCCTACGTTGACTTAGTTGCTTGGCTCCCTAATTTATGTCTTGGGTCAGGGTTACATTATGAAACTATTTGCCATCACCTTCATGGTAGACAACCTACTACACCCAAGAATTTTTGATGCTCCCCTCAAAAGCCAATTATTATTCTTAGTATTTAAATTATCGTTTAATTTTTTTCATTTTCTTCTGAGATTAGTTAAACTGAAAGAGGAAGAGAGAATTCAATATTTGAGGCTTAAGAAAAAAAACATATGACATATCCTCTTTTTTGCTTTAACTTTTTTTTTTCCCATTGAGTCTGTTATGACAAGACTTGCATGGAATACTCAGCCAAATTTCAAATTATTATTTATTATCCATGAGCTACCTAGAAAATACAGAATCACAAAAAATACCGTTAATACTTTGGGACAAGGGCAAGAACTAGAAACATTTGAAAACTTCAAAGTTACTGTACCTACCTAAGGATACCTCTACCACCAGCAACAGCTTGAGTTCAAAAGACAGCACATATAGAGGATGTAAAAGATTATGGTTTCTTAAATTTACTCTGTCTTTAAGTAAATAAATATTGAAAGTGCAAATTTCAAACTTAAGAGCAAAAGCTGCTAAATCTTTACAGTAGAACGAACTGGTTGTTACAAAAAAGCTTTATAATTAATAAATCATAATTTATTTTAATCTTTATAATTAAAATCATAGCTATGAGCACTTTTGATTTATGACAAATACTCATTGGATATTTACATATATATTCCAACTGAAACCAGTATATTTACTTTTAGCTTGATTATAAAAGTTTAACAAACACGTAGAAAATAATGAATTTTACCCAAAAAGTGATGTATGATTATCAAAAAAGCAGAAGGATTGAAGTCATTTCCAATTCAGTCATTTCTTTTTAGGGATGACAGTTTAATGATTTTTAAGAGGAGAAATGCTGGTCTTAAGCCAGCTAAAAAGTTATATCATTCCATTTGAAAGATTTAGTTTTAGCTCTAAGCATGTATAACACAGATTGTAGGGATTGCTTAATAGTAAAGATAGATAGCTTGTAAAAACTTGAGCTTATGTGGAGAACTTGGTTGCAAAACTAGGAACTTAGTTGTTGAATATTTAAAGTAAATAATCAAGTTCTCCACATAAGCTCAAGTTTAGTCAAATATAATTTTAAACAAGCAAGAGGAATATCACATTTTTCTTACTTCTGATTCAAAGGAAAAGGAATGGAAATGTTCCAATATATACTGGAAATTAGGTGAATAAGTCTGTAGTGACACAACAACAAAACTTTTAAGATCCTTCTTTGAACTATTATTCCATAGATTGCTATCATCATTTGTGGCCACATCTTGGGGGAAAAAATCTAGGGTTAAAACTCAGAACCCATTAGAAATAAAAGGTTTTTTTTCCTGTGAAGACGAGCAGCCAAACTTTGATGCTTTCTTCATCAACCTTTTACAGAATTGCTGGACAGGAGTTTCTTCTACTATCAAAGATACCATATGAGTAAAAAATAGCACATTCATCCTTGAGATTATTGTCCTACATAATGTAAATTCTTTTTCCCCTCTCCCTTAGTCTCATTATCAGAATACCTTGGCTGCCTATCATATAATACGGCCTTAAGCAACCTTGACAGCAGTATACTGGAGTTTTAAGGGTTTCATTTCATAAGCAGCAGCATTCCTGGGAAATGATAGGCCTTGGTCTCTTAATTTATTACATTGCATAAACTTAATGCAAGAATGAAGAAAAAAGGTTAAAATGCAGAATAAAAAATAAAACAT